ATGGAAATTGTCAGCTGCCTGATAGTCTAAATCAGAGATGCCAATTGCATTGTCGATGACAATAGATGGCAGACAAATTGCTCTGATTTTTATCTTCAGTAACTGAGCATGCACCACGCAATTCCTTCATGTAAATCATTCTCTTAATTCTTTTGTCTTCTCAGAGATAGTGTATTCAAGTAAGTTAAGTAGAGGAAAAAGATGAAAAACTCCTTTGTTTCAGTTTGTGTACCTGTCTCACCCTAATGAAGTACTCTACTTACCAGTCTGTAGATACCACGTTTGGTTTCTCCTTTGTGAACAGTCTGCAAAAACTTTAAATAAAACTTGCAATAAAGATTACAGCTGAAATCTGCCTAACAACTAAGAAAGCTTCTGATGCAAAAAAAATATTAAATAGTCGCTATCATTTTCTTGTACAGCTTTAACACAGCCATAAAACCACACTATATTAAACTGACCAACCTCCAAAACAGAACAGAGTATCTCTGAAAAAGAATTTTCTCCCTGTCTTTCCTTGGTCCTGCACGAAACTCTCCCCTTGGAGCCCACAGAAGAATTTCTCTCACTTCCAAAAATTCAGAAAAGAAATCACAATAGTTAACAAACACAAGACAAACAGTTCTCAAACATGATAGCAAAGATAGTGTCTACCCAACCTGAAGTCCAGAAAGAGCACTTTAGTTTCACAAATATCTCTGCTGTTATCACAGAACTGGGACTGGATTTTTCAGTTTCTCCTTTGATCAAGAACATGTAGGCTTTCTGCAGCTCACCCAACAATGTCAAATCAAAAAGGACTCAATAGCTGCAAGATTTAACCCTTCCTATACACTAGTATTCCATATGGCAAATCTCCCCTGAGGGAAAAGGAATACAAAATTTATATGGTTGATGATACAAATGATACAGACAGGAGTTTGCTAAGTAACATAAAAGCAGGTGATCTTCACCTCTCCACAACCATTGCAAATACCCACGGAAAAACTCCAGTAAGTTCCTGTTCCTGGTTTCTTCCATTCAGTGTTGAAAGCAATGCTATCCACTTCCCAACTCAGGATGCAGCAGCCGATCTAGCTCAAAGAAATCTTCAGTCAGAATCCACAGGAAGCAACGGCCACCCCTGCCCCCACAGGTGATATTTGTGAGAAGGTCTGGGACCCCCTAATCTTTCAGAGGCTTTGCAAACACACTGTGTTACCACAGCTTTTCCTGAGCACGGCTTGCCTACTGATGCCCTTCATAAATGCTTTCAAAGCCTTGGAGCAGAGTTGCCAGAGAATTACTAATCTGTGCCAGGCTGCAAAATAAATGACATAGCTGCAATGCCTACAAAGAAACTGTTAACAATAGATAACCATGTTGGGAGGCAGTTGTCTGATGAGCTGATGGAAAAAAACACTTTCCACTGTTTGGATCCACTGAGTTCACGTTGCTGACCTCTGTAACTGCCCTATCCTAGCACCTGAGGCAGGGCCACTAGATTCATTTTTTGCCAAAGTCCATTTAGCAAAAAAAAAATCAGTGTTCTTGTTCTAGGTCTGCACTGCACACTGCTCTCACAGCTAAGAATGGACCTGGGTCCATCATTTGCGTGGGTCTGTTCTAAGCTTTCTTCTCTGCTTTTCTTCCAGTTGTTTGGCTCACTCACTAGTCTCCTGTGCAATCATGCAGTTATTTTCAAGGAGTTGATAGCAGGATGAGGCGCTCCCTCAACCTGTGCAGCCCCCACCCTGGTTTTGTATAAATTGCAGTCCTGTAAGAAGTCGCCATGGATTCCTAGAACGTGGATGCAGTAACCTCACTAAGAAAAATCTGACCTCTTTGGTTCATCACAAGACATAGGAAATCTTCCTCTGAGAATCTTCCTCCATGGGTGGAGCCTCTTTTTACTATGCTGAGAAATGTGATTTTGGTCTGCTAATGCAAAGATACCAAATTCTGTCTTTGATGTGCCACTTCAAGGACTTTTGCTCTGCACACAACTCTTAGCAAATCAATACTGTAAAGAAATATATAAATCCAAGAAAACGTGGTGGTAGCTAAATAGGTCTGAAGCAATCTGGCAAACCCCAGAAAACCCACTGAAAGGTCCTTTGCTCCACATGACCAAGATTTTCATCACAAACAGAGAAGAGCCACATGAGCAGACTTCAGCCACTGCTTAAGGTGACCCATCTGTAGACAGCTAACCTCAGATGGTATAAAGCAGAGCTCCACTAAATGTATTAGCTACAGACCACTAGCATAATGGGCTTTAAGATACCTTTTAGGAGTAAAGTTGACCACCATCAAGCTGCAAGGAGTTAGGAGGTTCTTTCCACTGGCTTTGATTTGAACTTCCTCCCCCACTGGCACACTTAAAATGGGACTTCAGACTTTCACTGATCTCCTGATGATACTCCAGCCTTCACACATTTCCCATTCCACCATCTCTCACATCTTTCAGCGTGACCCTAGTCATTCAAAATATCAGTATCAGAAAGGTTAATATATACACATATGTATTTATTTATGTGCATTATGAAATACACTCTTTGTAGTGGCAAAGACAGAAAGAAAAATAATGGAAAAGTTCCACTGGCTCAGAGCTTTGTTACTACACTTGGCTTTCACGGAAAAAATAATAATTCCATGAGGTATGCAACTGAACCAGAGAGACCTTTACTTTTTATAGTTCTCCTCTGCCATGGGAAGTTGACTGCAGGTCAACAGGACTACAGCTATAATAAGTTCCAAATTTCTCAAGAGAAACCACTAGGGCTATCAACAGGGTTTTACATCTTTGGCAGAACAGGTTCTACTGCTTTGTTTTAAAGTGACCATGTAGGGGCAAAAAACCCTCAGTGAAGTGCTTCGAGTTGAAAACCACATCATCTTCAACAACCATTCTGAGTTACTGATAAAGAGCTTTGTTTTGTCACCAAGACATTTCCTTTGTCACCATACCGTACATTATTTTAATGAATTAGACTTAAAAACGTTCACCATTTCTGATAAGGGTGAACTATGCTGAAAGTCAAAACTCTTCTGTATACAACCATTTCTTTAAGCTTGTAAGCACACAGGTTTCCTGAACTATTTTTGACACAGTGCCCTTCTCAGCCTGCAGCCAACTTCATATGTAGCCATTGGAAACGTCCTGCCCGCAGACTGAGACAAAATGAAAACAGTGGAGAAAAAAAATTACTAATCAAAAACAGACCTTTTAGAAAACTTGTGTGAGGGAAAAAAAAAATGGTGGTTTTGAGTCATTTGAAATTTGCACAGACAAACTTGAAAACTGTGGAAAATGTTTTAGCCTTTCATCGCACTTGTCTATTAGAAGGTTTTCCTGTTTAGTACTGCTGTGTGGAGAACGTGTCTAAACCTTACAGTGTGGCACAACTTGTGAAAAGCAAAGGAAAAATTAGCGGAATGCCAGCAAAAATGCTCACTTGTATATGGTGTAGCTCGTTACTGAATGATGATACTGCAGCCAGCTCCTGAGAAACGGAACCATTTTATTTCACACTACTTTAGCTTGTGCAAGCTACTGAAATGCTGCCTCTGCTGAAGCATCAAACTGTAGCCATGAGCATTTCTCATACAAGGAAAGCCTCCTCCACCCTTCCTGAAGGGCGCAGACTAAGCTGCCCTGGAGCCAGTGGGAACACAGGAGGTGGCCAGGACAGGGACAACACTGCAGGCCGAAACAGAGCAGGACATCCATGGCCAGTGGAAAATGGTCATGACGTTGAGGCAGCAACGTGACTCACTTCGGATTCAACCCTCTTCAAGAGAGGAGAGCAGTTTCTGACAGGCATGGTGCTCTTGATCCCTCCTCAAGTGTTCTCCTCCTTTTTGTCCTCTTTCTCCCTGCCTTTGCCACCTCCACTGTCACCCCCCGCAGCAGCCTACCCTTCTGGAGTTGTCCAGGAGGCTCCATTTGATGATGACAGCAGAAGCACTTCTCCAACTGGGGCAACGGCAAAGGGCGCTAAAGCATCTCGGGAAATCACTTGTTTTAATGCTCGCAGTTCAGGGCCCAGTATGTAACACCCAGCTGATTGCCATGAGCATCAGCTCTTCCACTGTTCAAAGAGTGGTATTCTTCCATTTCAGCAGTCTCTTTGCCTTTCCTTTTATCACCTTCATCAATACAAGCCTCTCCTTTCCACTGAGGAATTTATAGACGTGGAAAACAGATGATGGGTGCCCTTCAGTGCCAGACGTATCTGACAGCAAACTCTAAAGTGAAATGAAATTTAGCAACCGCATTTACCTGGGTTGGATGACCATGTTCTGATGGCATAAAGGAGATTTCGCCCATAGCCCAGAACAGAATTCGTGAGGTTTCAATTTCCTTTTTCTGACTGGCCCTGTAAGTGCCGAAAGGACACAGACAGGGCTGTTCCTATGAATGTAAGATTAAGCCATGTGAATAGTGCCACAATAAGCAGTTGTATTTGGTGGCACAAGCTAGGTCTTTCAACTTCACTTTACCTAGTGTTACATTCCTAGAAAGTACCCCAATTTTCCTGCACCTCACCTTATTCCTTTTGTAGAGAACTAAGTAAATTGTATCATTAGAAGGGAAAACAATCTGAGAATAAGCATTGCTCTGTAGTTACCTCTGAATTCACTGCTCTCTGGAATTTAATGTAATTCATTAAACAAAGTAGAAAATTAAAATGTGCCTTTTACATCTCCCCCCCATTGACATTACACTTCTATAAAGACTGCATTTCTACATGAAGTCACACAGACTTTGTAACATGATCCAAGGGGTGCAGAGGAACCTTTTTTTGATTGTGATGAAGCAGAACTAAAGCCAGTAACATGAAGCTTGTTACACTCTTGTGTTTTCGGTGAGATTGAGTGCAAGTGTTAACCCATTACCTCCGAGATGACAATTCAGCAGCCTGCCTTAAAAATAACCACGTTTCTTTATCAAACCGAACCCTCCAGGTGACAGCACCCTCCTCCAGGCCCTCCCCTAGCGCCCGTTTCCAGGACGCATGCGCAGTCCCAGCCCGAACGCCCACTCATCGATGGCGGCCGGGCGGGGCAACTGCACAGACCACGGCGTGGCACGCCGAGGCACCGATCGGGGGCGGGGCCGTGCGGGCTGAGGCGGTGCCTCGCC